CCGCTCCATGTTCCATCTTCTATGCTGGCTCCCTTCATGCGGCTTGGGTATTTCGCCAAGTTACACCCAAGTTGCTCCGCTCGTTTTTGCATTGAGTTGATGGTGGCTTTCGCGCCCACCATTCCACGGGTCAGCCCTCCCTTGAGTCCGATCTCCATATCGACTCCAAGTGTGCCTTCATTTGTGTTGCTTTGGGTCGCTCCCCCACTTGATCTCGCAATGCATCCACCAATGCATTCTCTCGAGCGAGATCATGCGACGACTCCTCGCCACTTGCTTAGTCCATTGAGCTTCGTGGAGTTCTCTGGAGAGTCGGGACTATCCCTCCTGGATAACTGTCCCGTTGGAGCAACATCTCTCTTCGTTTCGGAGGCCACCATCCCCTTGGACTACTCCGATCTGCTGAACAAACTGTGCATTGTTCTGCCTCCTGCAAACGCACTTGCTAGATTGCGGCTCCACGTCAATACAGCCCCCGCTGCACCACTCAAGGCCTAGCAACATGCTGAACTCGTTGTACACTTCAGCCTCCTACGGACGCATCCTTCACATGCCGAAGAGAAAGTTTCAATGCTCCATGGTACCGAGTTTCAGTCGCCTTGGGATGGCTGCGAACATTCCATCGTTCGCATACAAGCCCATGTATGAGTACTGAATTCTTTGAGTTAACAATTCCCCTCACCTCTGTGAGCTTTGCACAACTCTTTCGGTCGTTGAGCAACTCATTCCACCTTGGATGGTCTCATCCTTTACCAAGCGCCTCGCTTGCCTTGAGCACCATCAAGTATAGTTGACAACGTTGAGCCGTAGCTCAAACTCAGCCATCCCAACCTTTGTGCGCTCCGCATTCTTCCAAGCTTGTCTGTTCTCGTGATGCCTCTTGCGCGAAGGGTTGACTATTCCTCTGAATGCCAATGTCAGATGCCCGCTCTTCCGAGCGACTCCTTTTCCCTACATCTCCATGCCCGTTTTCCCCCAAACGATCGTGCGTGTGCTGACTGCCCTCAACGCAGCCCCGCTAGTTCCCCCACGTTTGCATGCTAAGTGTTTCTATGAGTGCTTGTCCCGCTCTGATACCATTTGTCACGGTCTTAGCTGGTTTTGCCTAAGTCGTGCAGCACCCTTGCGTGTCCGTCCGCAAAGGTTAGCCTCCCCGAAGCCTCCCATGATCCCTTAGGACCCACAAAAGAGAGAACGAGATAGAGAAAACCCCTCACTCGGGATCCACAAGCAAACATCTCCGAAAACACTTCATAGACAATGCAAATTACAAACAGACTTTACAAGCTCAGAACAGTTGCACAACAAAGGGTTAAAATGGTCCATTACAGACCGAAAATCTCTCACACGTGTCCACATGACACAACCTTTATTTACAAGCCTAAAGCGGCCACTAACCTAACTAAAATGAGACTATTAAGCCTTCGGCCGTCCCTCTACATGTTGTACAAAGCATGAACATACCAAAAGACACGGACATACATAAGCATTATATCAAACATCCTGTTTCGAAGTTTGTCCGTGACAGAACGTAAAATTGAGTTACACTTGCCAACAATTTAGATGTATATAATTAAAATGCTGATACTGGCTCATTAACTTTAATAGTAAATCATTCTGCTAAGAAGATTATGAACAATGTGTGGAAGATATCAGCAAATAAAAGCAGTAGCAAACAAAATCAGGTTTTGGGAAATAAAGATTGGAAGATAGAAGATCTATTTGCATTATATTAGTGTGTTTAGATGAGTCATAATACCGAACACCTCACCGATTTACACCTTTCAAGAGTTATCTAAATTCACTAATTTAAAGTTCCCTGAAGCAAGTCAAGGTTTAATATGCCAGATAGGAGATGATAGTTTTCTGTCGATCCTTTGGGCCACTTTAATTTTTGTTGGCCCTTTAGGGCACTTTATTTAATTTAAAAATAAAACTTCATTTTCCTTTTTGTTTTGTGAATAAGTAAAGAGTTCTAATGGGTTTCTGGAAAAAAGTTGTTGCTAAGGATAGCTCAAATAAAATGAGATGAGTATGTTTGTTCAAAACCATGCTGGCTATGAAGAGGTGATTATGTCTACTACCTCATATTACCTTACAGGTCTTAAACAGTAGAAGTTGACATTACCAGATATTGTGATCTGAGGATGCAAGTCTTAACTGATTGTAATTGCTGCTTATTTGAACATTCATTGATACAGTATGTTGTTCTTTTTTTAGTCTCAAATTTGACTTTTCTTTTAGTTACAATTATGTTAACATATTGCATCAGATATTTGTTCTTTTTACTATATTTTAAATCCTTTAATCTCAACAATTAATTGGCTCTACCACTTCATCTATACCTTTCCAATAGGGCTTTTTTTTTTAAACCAAGTTTTTATGAATAATAAATATATGCAGGACCTGACAAATAGCGCTGGGGAAGATGTTGTTTTTGCTATGAATGCCTTTGTAAAGCGTTTGCTTGCAGTTTCAGATCCTGCACAAATGAAGGTTTGATAATGTTTTTGCATACATAGTTAGTGACATATTGACTGGGTGGCAAATTTATAATTAATCTTGTCATCTTCTAAATGAAGGCCATGACGTTGGTTCTTTTTTATGATAAAAATTTGACACATAATTTGTTACATCAGATTCAAGGAACATAAATTGGTTTTGTTTGGCATAGCAGTTATGCATAGCAGTTCAAGGTCATTTGTTTGGACTCCTTCCAACTCCAATGTTTTCACACCATTGCCCCGACGTTCATAAACATGTCGATGCCTTTGTTATGTGGATGTTTGTTAATCAGATAAATATGATCTGCAGCAAGAAAGTGGAATACTGGAACTTCTTTAATATCAATGCAAATTGACATATTAAATCTAAGTTCTGCTTGTCCTGAAAATTTGTGTTGAGATAAAATGTCTTCATTTCTTCTACTATAATTTTCATAGGAAAATAATATCTGGGACGAAGTGATTACCTGAATAGAAATTTTCCTAGAGAAATAAATTTCAATCCAAATGGTGAACCCAGGTTTACAATGTTCCTTAAGCATTCAGTTTGATATCTTCCCGTTCAAATGAATTTAGTTGTCTTATTTCAGCATGACACTAATTTCATGATCCCTACCTTTATTCATTCAAAATGAGCTACTTGGTTTTTATCCTATGGTCAAGTCTGCTGATCCCACTGATCCACTTATCTTCTTGTAGATTGCCATAACACAAACAACTGCTCCGGAACTTGCCAATCTACTGTATTGGCTGATGGTAGTTGGTTATAGCATTCGCAATATTGAAGTTCGCTTTGACATGGAAAGAGTCCTTGATAATCCTCCAAAGCTTGCAGAGCTACCACCCGGGGAAGATATCTGAAAATTTGGGTGAGAAAAGTCTGCCAGTGGACATTTTGTGTTATCCGTTGAATTATGTGTGCACACCTGGAAGGAAAGAAGCTTATATTGTTTTGGCATGTAGAAGACAGCAATTGAGAAAAAGCTGTATTTGTTTCTGTAGGGTATTAATGGAGGGGATACAATAGCATCAATGATTTTCCAAAATTACTTGAATTGCAGAAAGTTATTTGATGGTGTCCTCTGCGACTTGAGATCCACTAAGAATTCTTTGTCGAGTTGCAGAGGATTTGCAGATGCAAAATATTTACTTTGAAGACGAGTGCGAGTACAACATCCCTCTTAACTCTGTAGCATGACAGTGGACTGCAAGGATATTGCCGATGAAGTAAGTTCACATTTGAAATTGCAACGAATGAAGTTTTGCAATATCTTTTAACTATGCTATGCTTGAATAGGAAAAGTTTGACAATGATGTCAATTGTTGCCATCTTAGTAGGAGGAAACAGAAGAATGATGGTCTGATATCTTTAGTAAGAGGAAATAGGAGAATGACGGTCTGATCTCTTTTGACACTCTGAAACACTTTCAATTTGTGACAGTCAACTCAACTTTACAAGCTGCTCTAAAATTTTTATCATTTGCAAATGTCATTGTTATAATTTAGTTGGAATTGATTATTTGTTTTACTGTTAGTTGTTAATATGTGTCTTTCTCTTAATCCTTACTTTCATTTAAGAGACTATAGGTGTACAAATCAAATAATGTTATCTGTGAGAACGATGAAAGAGATTCCATATAAGACTATAATTATATAAAATGGAAGGACCAATATAATTAATATTTAAGATTAAATGAGCTTATTATATTAATTGAGATGTACATTTTGGGTAATTTAATTTTAGACCTATCAAGTTATTTGAATTTTTATTAAGTCAAATAAGACTAATAATAATAACATGGGAACATACTATGGTATGAACCCAAAGTTAGATCTCTTTAACTTTAATAAAAACATCAAGTCATAAATGTACTTTTACTAATTTAAGAGTTTAAACTGATTGTGATAATAGATTGTGATAATTTATATCTGATAATTAAATGTTTTGAATTATGATATAGTCATGCTTATAGTACTTGCTAATTTAAATGGGTATATTTTTTAAAATTAAAATATTTACCGTTTTAATCAACTTTAGATATTTAGATATTTGACATCAGATTATATTCTTTATAATTGTCTAATTGTGATACCCTATCTAAGCCACCGTGTGATTGGGTAAGATTTCATAGAGTAAGGGTTGAATTTTGGTTTCGGTTTTTTGAAATCACACATTCCAAGCAATGCATATTCTTTCTGTCCGCATATTGATATATTTGCGTAAGTAACATCAGCCGTTCAAATTCCCGCCTCCTTTCCAATTTGATGGTTCAGATTTTGAAACGTCATCATGCATCCTTAGGCATTCGAATGAACGGCAGATTTCACGCTCGCACGATAACTTCTATGATCTCGTTCACTAACATACTTGCGTTGTCCCGCCCAAACATCGAAACTTTCTACTAACCCTAAAAGGATCCCTCCCTCTCACACACTCTCTCTTTTACTCAGCTCGAGCCCGCGATGAAGTCCCATTGAGGTACGGGTAGTTCGATCAAGGCCTCTGTCGTTGCCGATTTCTTTTTGCTTTCATTTGAATACCTTCTCCTGAGATTGATTCGATTCCTGTTGTAACTGAAGGTTTGTTGGAAAATAACTGTTCATTAAATTCTCGATCCGATTTAAGAACCCCGGTGTCGCTGATTTGAACTAAATGTGTCTCGTGCTCTCGGTTCTTGTAAAGATCTTAGTTTTCTTGGTTTATATCTCGCTGATTTGAACTGAAGTTAATTTGCTTATTGGTATGTTATATCTTCTCGCTGCAAGATCTGAATACTTCGTGTTTTTGAGATTTTGTATGAAGTAGGGATGTTTCATATCGTCGATTCCTGTAAAAATCATAGTTTTCTTGGTTTAGTTATTCACATTTCATGTCGAAGTTAATATTCTTTGGGGTATTACTTCATTACTTGTTCTCAAGAATTTGCGATCTATGGGAACGTAACAGGTAGCAAGGCCTTGATTTTTATAGGTTCCACATTGTGGATGTATGGCGTAAGTAGTGTGTGAGGTTCCTGTTTGCTTAGGGTGAGTACGGTTCAGTATTTCATAGTTGTTCTGCATCACTAATGCAAACAGTTTGTGAATGGTGAAGTAGTAAACTGAAGATATATGAAACAATAAGCAATAAGATTAGGAATTTGAGAGAAGTGTGACTGTACAAGCAATAAGATTATTTCACAGGTTGAAGCATGCTGCTTTATTCTTTATCTTTTATTGGATTATGGATCTCTGTCTAGAAACAGATATGAGGTTGTTTAAGAAATCCAATTTTTTTAAAAATATAACATACAAATGATTGGAAGATCAGTACATGGTTTTATTGTTATGATCAAATACTGGCTATGATATATATAGTTTTGTATTGCTCCTACACACCATTATTATTATTATTTTCTGTGATACTGCATAGTACAAGTTCGTATTTTACCTACTATATTAGTATCATGCTGGTCTGATAGCTTATCAAAGCCAATATTGGACCAGCATTAAAATCCATGTAGCAAATGTATAATTTTTCTTACCAATCTTCTGTTTTGTAGGTCAACTATTATTTTTTGGGCCATTGTTGTTGGATTTTAGTTCTGGTGCATGCCTGCATTACCTTTTTTGGACTAAAACTTTTTAATTGTGATTGGCTATGGTTGCTATTGCATTTCATAGTTACATGTATACTACTAATAAATTGTCATCATATTCTACTAAGTTTCCAAACATCATCTAATTAGCTGTTCGACACAGGTTGCATGCTAGACCATTAAGTACTGCCCTTTATGGTCGGTACCACTTGGTATTTTAATCCGTGGATTGCAAAATGCATTAAAAATATAGAAGTTACAACTTTCTTCAACTGTTGCAATTTTGTCAAGGTTAATGTTCTTTAAGGGCTGGCATATAAAGCCTGGTAATGGCTGGCTTTAAAGGGGATAATTAACCCCAAAGGTTAAAGATAGCACATTTTGAATGTTCTGAAAATTGGCCAATTCCAAGATTTCAGAAACATGGTGAAAATCGTGTTGATCAGTTACTAGAAGGATGAATCTAGGAACATAGAACAAAAAAAAGAATTAAGTGGAAGTCTATCTGAACTTGACAGATTAGATACAGATGATTCATATAGCCAGGTTAAGTGAGACAAAGCATAACTTCTTTGATTGCTGTAACCTATGGTTGGCCATAGCTATGCAATTCAAGCTAAGCATGAGCATAAACACCATCTGGTATCATTGATTCTATATGTAATGCCCTCTATTTTATAGAAGACTTTGGGAATCACCAGTAAAGGCCACTAGCTGCCAACGTCTGTGTATTATAGTTACGTACAATAAGTCACAAATTTGTAACAATACTGGTTCATATGTTCAGTCAGAAGGCTGCTGTTACATCTATTCGTTAAGTTATTTTCAATAACAAGTAATTTAAAGCCATTATTAATGCATCTTTGTTCCAATATTTGTTGCCTAATGTTTTTCACCATATACTTGGTCAATGATGGAATAAACATACAGTATTTCTTTTACCTCTATTTTCTCACTGACCTTTCCTGTAACTAGGCTGTAGTTGGCTTTCCCTGGACATCCTCATTCCTAGGCAAAGTAGGTAAACAAAGACACCTTTGTTATTCTTAGCTGATAGTTGGTGAAATGCTATTAATTTTAAATTTTGATATGGCAATGATAAGTATTAGGATATATCTTTTAGATTATGTTCAGTTGTCCGATGTAGCTCTATAGTTGATTTGCTTGTGAAAATGCAATTAATCTAAAATAAAGTTCAGTCTTGATTTATAATTGAGATTAGAATTGAGTAAATAGTACATTGTTTTATTCTATTATTACGTAAGCTACTCATAATCTTTATTTTAGTTCACTTTGGAAAAAATAATATTTATTTTAATTCACTTGCTCGTAGTAGCATAGGCCATGAGTGAAGTGTAGGCTTCCAACTTTAGAACATGGACTGAAATAGTGGGTCTGTATTGTCTTGCATCTATGTATTACTTTTGAATGGTTGAATGAATGCAAGAATAACATTTCCATCTTGCACACCACAATCAAATAGTGAGCCTTAAGATTTATATTTATACAGGTGAAATTTTGTCAATACGTTTGAAGGCCTGAAGCTGAGACGACATTAGTGAAGTAGCTGATATACATGATTTATCCCCAGTCAATCACTTGATGGGCCAAGGTTAGGTTATTTTATTATCAGTTTTGCTCAAATCTTAGCTTGTAGCCTGGTACATTTTTCCTTTAATCTTTTGTTGGTTATTGGCGGGACCAATTAATTCCAGTTTTACAAATCCCAATTTCATAACTGAAAATCTTGTAATTTGATCCATTTGCCTGCCCAATACATGAGTTGCAATCTGGTTGAAGGATCAGTTTAGTTTGTGCTTTATACAGAATCTTCTTGGACCCTTAGTATCGATCTCAACTTGATGAATTGGGCATACATTAAGAGCTTAAAGAGAGAAAAATATGCTGTCACACTCACATCCACATTTTTTTAGGCATAGAATTCTTTTCAATTACACAGCACCACTGCGATGTTGTTATCACATGATAACCTTGCCTAGAATATATAAGCTATTATAAAGATGAACATGCATGATATTTTCATGTTATTTTATCTTGGTTGACAGACAACTTTGAAAATTTCATCTTTAGTGGTGCTACATTTCTTTGTCTTTTCCTTTTTTTTAGGAGTGATGAGCAGTTCTTTTTATTTATTAAAAGTTGGACCAGCAAATCTCAACAGAAAGTGCATATGTTATACTCACAAGCTTTGTCCATAAAGATGAACATGCATGATGCTCCAAACTTTGTCCATGTATGTGTTTAGCCTATTTTATTGGAAAAATTGATTGTAATTTTTCCTTATGGGAATCATTCTGTGTTGTACAGACGTCTAACCAGGCTTCTAAGCATGTACGACCAGAGATGCTATAGTCAATGCTCAAGCACCTATCAAGGGCTAAACCTGTTCTAGTGAGGCTGGAATCCTTGATAATGAAAAACATCATATTAAGACAATGTAAGATATTTTTTATGGATTAAATGCTGTAAGGCCTAAACCTATACTAGTTGAGGGAGGATGGACATGATCTGAATTCCACCTGTGATATCTATCACTTGAAGGCCCAACACATGGTTAACAACTTAACTCTTAGAATCTTAATCCAAGATGTAAATAAACTGAATGCTGTGAACATTTTCAAGATAATGTTGACTGTCCTTGTGGCATCAATGCGATTAATCTCATTCCCATCTAATCTGTTATCTGATATGCCTACATCATAATCAATTGCGTGAAATGAAGTCAAAATTTTACAAAAGGAAAATATGAGCCCGGGTAACTAAGTAGTGCTTAATTATAAAAAAAACTCCTTTTTTTTAAATGCAAGAAAACTGAATGATACTAAGAACATGTTCTCTATTTGAAAATGAACTTGAAAAACTTGTTTTCTAATTTTCAATTTTGTATAAGCTTTGGAAAATTGTAGAAACTAGTTTCCAAATTTTGCACAGATTCATGGTGCTTAGATTAGTTTATCATCATCATCATTATTGTTGCTAACTTGCTATAGTTGTCATCCAAGCAATTAGTAGCAGTGCTGTTTCCAGGCAGGCAATAGATTAAGTTTGTAAATTGTAATCAATAATCATAATCATCGTTCCTATAGTTGCCATCTAAGCTAGTGGTAGCAGTGCTGTTGCCAGGCAAGCAATAGAAGCTACTGCAAGTGCTGGTCAAACTAGCAACAACATCTGCTACAATCACCAGTCAGGCAAGCAACAGTTGTTGCTGTATTCGACCACAAAGTCTACTGCACATGCATATGCTTACCTAGCAAGCAGTAGCTAGCTAGTCCTCGATGTCATTGGCCATACGAACATTGTCAGCAGGCCATTTCCTGTGGCCAAACATGTAAGGTCATCAGTTGTCCACTTGTCCCTTGTACTCGGGTTAGAACACTTGAAGTTTAAAATAAATTCAGCATGGAACGGAACTTTGCATATGATTTGACACTTATTAGTATATGGATCGTTTGTTCAGCTACTGGCAGCTGGTGTCTAGAACAAAAGGTACACTTCATTTCAGATAGCTCTCTTTGATGCAGGTTCCTTGCATTTAAGCGCATATGTGTCATTAGAATTGATAGAGTAGCTCAATCTGGTGTTCTAATCTAATCCTTAGGCAAGAAACCATGAATATGTATTTTTTGCTCAAAGCATTCAATATCAGTCTTCAATTTTATTGTTTCTTTTTTTGTATAGTATGATTATCTATATGAAATATTCAGTTATGTTGAATTCTGCCATGACCAGAGTTGTTTAGTGGCATTTTATATCTTGAAATAACCAAGCATGTTGATCTAAAAGCTGTTTGAGGCATTTTTTAATCTGGCCCTTGAGTTATCCTTTATTTACTGATGGATGTTTGTTTGGTTTGTTTTCTAATGTTCAGTCTCTTTGTTCCTGTATTCCCATTAGGTTCTGCATATACTGAGTGAGTGGGGCATCCCTTATGGAAGTTATTAATGATCGATAAATATAGTGAAAAGAGATTCGTTACTAGAAGTGTCATGCCTTCAGGTGACAAACATCATCCTCTTTTTGTTAAGAAAGTGGCTTTAAGGGAGTTGCCTAATGAATCTAGGAATATTAACAAGCCACCTATAAAGTCTCTTCCCAAAGAGTCTGTGAAGCAACTCACCCCCGATTCTAGGAAGGTGGCTGGGATTAAGAGGCAGCAACCTGATGCTCCACCCAGTCCTTCCAGTTATCAGCCCCAAGGGAAAATTTCTCCACTTGCAAATATTGTTTATACTCGTAGAAAGCTCGAAACAGAACAAGGCAAGATGGGTGATTTTGTCAATATCAATCATGCTGAATCTCCAGAATCAAGGAAGCTTAGCAACAACTGCACAAAAATACCAAATATGCCGAAAAATTTGATTCAGGAAGCTAAGGCGAGTTATCCATCACATGTTTCTGATGCAGTTACTTCCTTGGCTGCCTCATCTGTGGGACTATCATTTCCCCATGTTCATGGGAAACCCATCTCTAGATTAACAGGTCCAGAACCACTAGATTCAGTGTCTGCTGCTGGGTGTTCTTTCACTGCTGACCCTCACAAAGTGAATAATGAAGGTTGGAAAGACAGGTTCCTTAGGCTGCAGACGTTCCTAAAGACCTGTGATCAGGCAAACCAGGAAGATTATATACAAAGTAAGTTGCATTTAGATTATGCTATACTGCAATACAAGTCATAATATCCCAACTAAATGTTCATTATTCTGTACTGCAATACATCTGATAAATTCACTATATTTTAAGCTTCTTATATGACCTATTAATGGTATCAGTGCTTCGATCTCTATCTGCCGTTGGCCGAAGTAGGCATGCTGTGGAACTGGAGAAAAGAGCAATACATCTGTTGTTGGAGGAAGGTAATCCAGATGTTTCTTAGAATGCTTGTTTATAGTGCTAATTTGTCAACATTTCCAATATAAACTGCTTTAACTTTGGTAAAAAAAGTATGAAAAAAAGCCAAATCATTAATCTAAATATGTATGCTGTAATTTGTTCTTGATATTTGAGGGTGTGATGTAATTCTCATGACTAACTACGACATACTTTATACTTTCATTTTTTTTTTTCAGGCAAGGAGTTGCAACGTATGAAAGTTCTTAATGTTTTGGGTACACCTTCAAATGATCATGCATCCACTCCAAGTCAGGCACCCTTTTCTCTTGCAAGCAGAGCTCCAGAGTCATAAATACTTCCTTGTTAGAGTGTGTAAGAGAACATATTGTTTTAAGGAATTTTTGTACTTGTTTTCTGCTTTAGTTTAGATTAACTTAATTCACGTGTCTCTCAGGAGTAACATGTAAAGGTTTATTATTATCGGATGATGTTTTATTTGTATGATCTTTAAATGAACAAGTTATTGGTTGCCAAAATCAGCAATCTGTGCCTGATGATGCACCCACCATGTTTTTAGGTTATTTCTTGCTTTGTCCGTAGATAATGATCAATCATTAGGCTTCATCTTTGAGAATTAACAGATTATTATTTCCCACAGATCTGATGCACCAAATTGTCATCGAGTTACACAGTACTGATGATCCAACTATTATTGGATGGTGAGAGCTGATTTCTCTTTGTTGCTATTACCTGTCAATGCCACTTTGATCTTATCATGCTGTCTTTCTCAGTGTAATGGATTTCAAGACGTCCTGTCCCAATTTACATGTTTTAATTGAACAATTGAACTTGTGATTTGATACAAAAGTCCACCAAGGAAAATGTATAGAAATTCTACAAAACATTGGAGCTAATGTGCAGCAAACAAGGTGTTCAATACTCCAATTGCAATCAAGGAGTTAGCTTTTGATCGAATTGGATTCTGAGTTGATTGTTGTAAAGATTTGAAGTAAAATCTCAAGATTTTACTCAAATTCTTTATAAAGATTTACGGAGCATACTGTTATGCCATGTATACAAAAAGAAAAAATAGTATGTGCTAATTGGTTTTTCTGTTTTTTTTGGTAAGTGCAATGCCCAAAAGGCATCTGCTAATTTTTTGTGTTTTGATGAACAAGCTGTTTGCCGACGGCAGAATTTTGAGGTAATATATTTACTACCCTTTTTACAAAAATGAAAAAAGAACATCAGCACATGTACATACAATTACAACCATCCAACGTACAAGTACATATAAACAAAATCAATCTGTTCATAGAAATATACAAGCGTTTGCCTTCTTTCGATGCATACATTGTAGATGCAAGTTCCAGTCTGGTCCTCAGATTTGCACCCACATCCAGCAAATTGAAAATTTGTTATGTACATATGCGTATAACCCTGAGCTCATCTTGCCTTCTTGACATTCTCTTGCACAGCAAGACCTCCGGCGTCCTCCCCTTCGGCCAGTCGTTTTGCACTGTCATGGATCCTGTGGCTGGTCTCTGAGACATACAACTGCGTCGCCACATGGTCAAGCGCGAGCGACACCTCACGCATGGTGGGTCGGATGTGGGGATGATCATGAAGACACATGGCGGTGATCATAGCCAGCTGGTGGAAGGGACGGATCGGGTAGCGCCCTTGCAGCAATGGGTCAGCCAGCTGAGAGAACTTCCTCCTGTCCTTGATAAAAGGGCGTGACTGGAAAAGAAGACAAAAACATATTAACTGATGCACGATAAAAATGAGATTTTAATGTAGCAGGAAGAAAATTTCGATCGAAGAAACAGAGAAATTGTACAACTTCACATGCAGTCTAAGTATCACATTAGTGTATCGAAGAAAGGCTTCTTTATCTCTGACATGAAAACTCACAGGTATAGGAAGAAATTTAAGTATTCAAGTAAGGAATTAGAAGCCATATGTAATTGCTAATTTGACACAAAGTTATTGGTAGCATTTCAGAGAAGATTTAGCTGACTACATAATCTTGAAATTTGGTGGAAACTAAAACAACTTTGTTACTAATATGAATGATGGAAAAACAACAATGAAACTATGATAACTTTATGCTTTACAAGAACAAACACACTGAGGTCTCTATTTACGAGTAAGAATATATAGAATCAAATCCCATAAAAGCTGGGTAAAAGAAAACAAGAGCAGTATCAATTTTAGCTAATTGCGATAAAGATGAAACAAATTGTAAGCAAAAGAACCAAGATTTCTTTCAAATCACCGCGTAGTAGAATCATGAACCACTGAAAACTTCAATTTTCCAAACTGGGTATTAGCATTAATCATAAGTAGAAGATGGCACCAAGAACCAGATTCAAATGTTAAAATGTATTTATGCGAGTAAACACGTACCCATACGATTAAATTCTGCTCCCCCAATCTCTTGGTAAAGTCGAATGCCTTTCGTCCAGTAATCAGCTCCAGTAGAACGACACCAAAGCTATAAACATCAGACTTCACTGTCAATTTACCACTCATGGCATAGTCTGGAGCACAGTAGCCATATGTCCCCATCACCCTCGTCGAAACATGAGTGTCGTCACCAACAGGTCCAAGTTTTGCTAGACCAAAGTCGGAGAGCTTAGGGTTGAACTCATTGTCTAAGAGTATGTTGGAAGATTTTAGGTCACGGTAAATGACAGGTGGGTTAACCACATCATGCAAATATGTGAGCCCTTTTGCGGCACCAACAGCAATTTTTATCCGGGTATTCCAATCAAGTGGCTCTTTAGGAGGAGGCAAATCTGGAGAAACAGAAGAAAAGCCCATGAGTAAAATGTCCCCGATGAATCAACTAAAACTTCAACCAGTTGGAATAATGATACCCAAAAGGCTACATGAAATTATATTTTATTCGGATGAAGGTAGAAATATAATTTGATCTCACAACATAAGAAAGCAAATAAGTTGAATGCCTGACAATCAAGAAAAGCAAGATGGCACCAAATATAAAAACAATGTCATGTGTAAACTATGACCATCAGTATGTGTATTAACATTGGCTTATAAGGTTCATAATTCACATGGTTGAAATTGCTCAACTGAAAGAACTAAAATGATAATATGGGAAATAAGTGGCTAATGAACATTGAGAACTAAAATAAAGCATGGAATTTGGTCAGACTTTCTTAGAGCTAATACCCAACTTGGTTCTTATCAGGATCAGATCATGAAGTTAACATTGCTACATGTCAAAGTGATACAGTTGGGGAACGTACATGAAATGCAATATGAACTTAACAAGTGCAAAGGATGCCAAGGTTATTGGGTTCAACTCTACTATCTGTGTGAAGGCAACAAATAACAGTTTACGAATTTGGTTTCAACAACATTTATCATCATCTAACAGGCTTCTAATCTTGATATCCTTGTTGTGATGCACACATCAGGCATTTCCATGATCACCTTGTCGTAGCAAGTGTATCACATTTTTATGAGGATAAATCACAAGGTATTTACAGCAATACTTCAACAAAGACTCCAAACTGCTGGAAATAGCACATAGATGCTCTTGTTTAGCAACCAAAGGGATAGAGAAGAAGCATACCAAATAGGTGATGTTCCAAGCTACCCTGCGGCATGTACTCGTATACCAAGAGCCTCTCGTCTCCTTCAGCACAGTATCCAATCAAGCTGACGAGGTTTATGTGGTGCAGCATTGTCAGCATCAGGCACTCAACAAGGAATTCTTGGCTGCCCTGCATCCCGTTTCTATTGAGCTGCTTGACTGCCACAACCTATTCGTCAAAATGCCAAGCCTGTTTGCGATCAATGCGCCATCGAAATCGAAGCTTCTTGGTGCTGCCGTGGAAGCAACCTTCAAGAAGAAGAGGAGGAGGAGAGGAATTGCTTGCCTGACCAGATTCCAAGTGCCCCTTGAATACCCTTCCGAAGCCACCTTCTCCTATCAAGTTCTTCGGCTTGAAGTTTCGAGTGGCGGCCGCCAGCTCCCGGAAGGTAAAACTCCGAGCTAAGCTCTTCTCCCCATCCGGAGAACATGCTATCTTCTCCAATTCTGCACCACCAAGAAACCAAGAACACGAAGATTTCCATCCGAGGAGATAATTTGAAACAAAAACCTTCGTACGCAGCAGGGAATTCACACGAACCTTCGGAATCATCGAGCTGAGGCAACGACGAGGAGCCGACACTGCCCTCGGCGGCCCGCTTCGGAGCATCGCGGTGATGATAACTCACGCAAGAGAAGCAGTTCATCTCTCCTTCTCTGGTGCCCGCTCCAAGGGGACACCAAACGTAAGAAGAAGCTGAATTGCCGGCCTCTTTCTGGCCTCCCCAGCGCTGCGTCCTCGCGATGCTCTCTATCTCTTGGGCAAGATCAGATCTTTTTGACAGGGGACGGCAGGAAGAAAGTGGGGATCGGTGGTTCGAGGAGCAGCGGTCGGAAGGAAGCCCGGTGGCCGAGGAATTCGGAGAATAATATGAGGTAGGGGGAGGGACGGCGGTCGAAGTTGGCAACGTAAGGCCATGAAAGGCGCAGAGTTGTTCGCAGAAAAGAGTGGAGGAAGGCAAAAGTGGAGGTTGGTCTCCACCTTTGCATTGCTATTGTTGTCATCAGACTCGCTGTCATCCTCTCCGCCGGTGTCAAAAAAAACTCTCTCTCTCTCTCTCTCTCTCTCTCTCTCTCTCTTTGAACTCAGAGGAAACTAAATAATAGATTAGCTAACTTAATCGGTAAACATCTTGATATTTTATTGTAATATCGTGCGTTCGAATTCCGTTTTAATTATTTATTTATTATAAAAATAAATAAATTAATTAAAATAATTGTCCCAGAAAAATCTAAGTTTTGGAAGATTTGTTTTACTAAATAACAAAGATGATTTTGTTATACGTTCATTCTTCTTAGATCCAAATGTATTTTTCTTAATCCATAGATTTGATACTGGGTTTACTATCAAGCATATTAGTGTTTGAAAATGCGAGGTAAAATTTATTTTCAACATTATGAGCTTGATGCAAGATTTTTAATTTTGATGTGTACCGTCTGATATAGGCTGTACGTATCGGTCCGAGAGGATATCGGTATACAGACCATCTTTTACTGGGCGATACCGATGTTTTGACCCATATATGATGATACAAGGTCTGTACAAGGCGTTAACGATCGAAATCCGATAATTACTGAGATGCATCGATTGGTATACTTCATATTTTGATTATTACCAAGGTATATCGATTGGTACACCATATATTTCGATTGTTATTGAAACGTACCAGTCGGTATACTCTTATATTTTTGGACTATTACCTCCAGATATTTTTAAATATTTTTTAGCTTTTTTTGGGTATACCGTCGGTACGCCTCGGTTTGTATCGTATTGAGCTGGGCTCAGTACATCAATACAAATCAAAATTGAAAACCTTGGCTTGATACAATCTTGTGATCAACATTCATAAAAAAACTCATTTGAATTATATATATATATATATATATATATATATATATATATATATATATTAAAAAAATAAATACATTTATAATAGAATTAAATATTCATTA